GTCGGGGGTTCGGTGCCTTGCTCAAGGGCACCTCAGTCGTGGTATTGAAGGTGGAAGAGAGCGCTGTACATTCACTCCCCCCACCTACAATCCCTGCCGGTACGAGACTCGAACCCCCGCAACCTTGGGTTACGAGTCTGACTCTCTAACCATTAGGCCACGACTTCCCCCCTAATATTACTCTTTTTACTATATTTTTGATCAAATAAATGCAGCCTTGGTGAGCATAAGAGACTTCTTTCAAAAACAGAGAAATAAAATCTTACCGACCCCAAACATTTAAATGATAGAGTATGGATAAATTATTTTAGATTTAGGATATAAATAGTTGTAAATTAACATGTTCATGATACATGCATTAAATAATGTTTATACATTAAAATGTATTATAGTGTAAAAATCAAAACGTTATACTACAGTATTAACTTAATATTACCTAAAGAAACATGTCAGCTCTTTGTTCCACTTAAGCTTAGCAATGTAAGCATCATAACAACATGGTACTAAATGCTATTATGGGTTTCAAATCCAGATTTCCAATTCAAAAAATTTTTTTTTTTTAATAATATGTAGCAAGGGGCCATTTATTTGAAATAGACTGCTGACCCCTACTTTAACAAAGTTGAATGCAGCTGCTGTAGTCACAGTTCATGCGTTGGTGCAGAGCAGTCAGCTGTCGCTTAACAGGAAGAGATTGTCAGTCTTGTGACCTACAACCATATGCCCTCCTGTTGTAATGCAAGAGAAACAGTATAGGCTTGGCTCAAATCCTGTGTGTACCAAAGGTTCAGTAGCACGTGTGTGTATGTGTGTATGTGTGTGTGTGTGTGTGTGTGCGTGCGTGCGTGCGTGCGTGTGTGTGTGTGTTCTTTCCATGGCCTTTGTCTAAGCTCCTCTTCAGTGCTCTGTGTGTCCAGTGGGCAGCTGGCTGAAGCGGACTGGACAACAATCTGCTGAGAGAGAGAGAGGGGGTGAGAGACATGAGGGCATTACTGTTCCTTCATGATCCCACCTGCTCATTTGCTTCCAGACTTAAATCTACAACACCTGTCACAGGCTGTTAGAGAGCCACTGCTGTAAATGATCCAGGGTTAAATGTCACCACGCAACACTGCTTTATTGTCACACTACCCTGAGTGTATTTATCTCTATCTATCGTTCTATCGTTCTTTCTCATTCTAGCATTCTGTCTATCCATCCATCATTCTGTTGATCTGTCTGTCTATCATCTATGAGTCTATAAACCTTTAAACTTCAAAGCTTTTTAAACTTTTTTCCAGACTTTCAAAGTTAACAGAATTTTATTTTCTAGTTAAAAGTACAGCTTTATGAATTTCAATGAATTTCAATTATCTTTCATGACATTCAGATTAGAATTGCAATTCTGCATCTGGTTGCTACTTAAATTCAAATAGAATTAGAGAGTTGAATTCAAATTTAAAAGGCATCCTTGATTCAGTTCTGAATGGAGCAAAACCATGTTGCTAACAAACAACACTGCTCTCACCACAAGAATTATGATGGTTCTATTTTACAGGCTAAATAAGATCCTGACTTGAAATAACCAGCATAATCTAACAAAAAATAAAAAAAAATAAAAAAAACTTCTAACAAAGCAAATAACACACCCTCTATCTCTTTCCCGCAGGTGAACATGCTGATTGGGATAGTGGTCTTCAACAAGCTCATGTCTAGAGATGGCATCTCAGACAAGTCCAAAAAGCAGAGAGCAGGGTAAGTGAAGGTCAAAGTAATGGCTATATGATACCCATCTATTTCTGGATTTGCACCAAGTCACTTATTTACCACTGGCCTGTTGAAGGTTTTAAAATATCCTGTCAAGTATTTGTATGGGCGAAATAAATTACCCATGCTCTCTCTCTCTCTCTCTCGCTCGCTCGCTCTCTCTCTCTCTCTCACACACACACACACACACACACGACCACTAAAAGTTGAAAAACATCAGACTGAAAGCCAAGATATGACAGCTTCATTAATGGACTTGTATTGATTTGCTGGCCTGCTAACCTCAGGCTAGTCCTCTGATAGCTCTGTCATTTGCTAAGTCTATATTCATTGTTCATGTAACTGCATATACTGACAGGATCAAGGAGCCCTTGTGCTTTTAAAACGCTTGTTCTGTTTTGCCTTTGTTGGATTGGACACAAATCAGAGTGATCCATTAAACACTTGTGTTAATGAGTGGACCGCCACATCCCTCACCTCAAACGAGAGGCTAAATCGCACTGAGAGATTGAATATTCCCATTCCGCTCCATGAATCCGCTACCTGGTAACTTCAAGAGCATTCTCACAGCCCTTCGTCTTTAATTAAACTAACGCTGCATCAGAAACCCCCATTTTTAAGCAAAGATAAGAGCTTTACATTGTTTAAAATGAGCTCACGGTTCAACTGCTGTCAAGCTTATTGTCATGCGTGAACATGTTTTCGCTAGTTCTATACTGAAGGCATGAGAACAGCCTTAATGCTCTGATAACTAATTCTGAAACTGAATTAGTGCATCTAATAGCTACCAATAGCCTTTCCGCATTGAGTGTACACTGTACAAATGTCATTTAGATATGTGGCATTGCTTTGGTGGACCACCATACCGACGTCTTGGCAGGAAACTGTGGGTCTTACTAATTGAATGAGGAGCTAATCAGAGATCTGAGCTAATCCAATGACTGGATATTTGTAATCCCTCCAGGCAAGAGTACGTTCTGCAATTTTGCCCTAATTGATTTGTCTTTTTTCCACTTTTCTTTTCCTGTAATGTTTGTGTACAAGGGAGATCAATGCATATTGGGAGCTGCAATGGCTAACTATGGATTTTTAAGCTAGTGGCTTTTATATAAAAATGTCCTAGAGTTTAAATTCAATTAGACTCGTTTTCATATTCACACACTCTCTCATGCTGTCTTTCACATACAGTGCATATGCTGTTGCAATAATTTTTTAGTTTAGCAAACATCACTGTTCATACACCTGGCGGGCGATAAAATAGACCTCAAGGAGGAACCCAAGCCATATCTAGAGACCGCAGTATCAGATAATTGGTAGTGGGCCAGTAAGCAACCGCATTGCAATGCATTAAAACCACTCAGAAACCTTAGCAAGAAACCTTAATCATATTTTAAGAAACCTTAGTCATATTTTATTCACAATCCTTTATTATTGTGGTGGGCATATTTCCTAAACAGTCTTTTTTAGTAAATTAAATATTAAACTAAATTTAGCATCATGCTTTCTGTGTTTTAAGGCTGTGTGTAAAGTAAACACAAGTCCACTGTTGTAATAAGCTGCTTCTTCTCTTCGTTGCTGATCCCGAGTGCCCCTCATTTCCAAATGTCTGATGTTCAGAGCACTTTCTCCAAGTCTGTGACGTGAGGCTGTCTTTTGTTTCCTTTACACTTTCAATCAGCATCTCAGAACACACACTAAATTCAAACCAAATGGGATAAAGTATATGTATGTACAGTAGTTCTGTGTATTTTTTTTTTTACGATTTTGGAGCTCCATACAGTTAAGCGAGTTGAATTAGCTGTCGAGTTTGAGTCAAGTGTAGGATGTCTGTTCAGTAAATCCATAAAGCACTGGACAAATTAATTCCATTTAGCCAAAAGAAAATGTATGTCTTAATTTCTAATTTCTTATTAGTATCAATGGTGAAGTGCTGGGGTCTGTTCTTCATACCTCGCTTAATACATCTGAGATGATTTGACAGATCTTTTAATCCTGATAACTGATCTCTGGATAAATTGGTTCTTCAAACAAGTTAGCAGATTAGATTAAAATGTCTGGATTACGTTGTCTAAAATTACTTTCTGTTGTCATGTTCATTGAAAAGGGCAGATATATCCATACTTGAAACCATGATCAGCAATGCAGTGATTGGCTGGCGGCAAGACAGCAACGTAATGACATCATATAATTAAGTTTCTTAATCCATAAAATCAATCTTAAAACATAACTGACTGTGTTTAAATCAATTGTGCATCATACAATTATTTTGAGATTTGAGAAGTGGCTGCATCTCATGCGATGTATCAAAACCTCCCGCATTAAAGCTCACCTTTCAAATCAATGCACAGCTCAGACAAACTGTATGGAATGTGCATATGACTACAATAAAATTATGAGATAATTATTCCTTACTGAATAAATATCTCAATTAATAAAACTGGTTGTGTCTATTATTATGGATTACACAGATAGCTATAGATAGCATCTTGAAATTTTGGTGGAAACCATGAAATTCTCCTCAGGATTCTTTGATGAATAGAAAGTTCAAAAGAACAGCATTCATGTGAAATAGAATTTTATTTATTTATTTTTAGTATTATTTTTGTAACAATGTAGAATGTAAAGTCTTAATTTTGTCCTTAAAACAAGAAAGATAATTATTCCTTACTGAATAAATATCTCAATTAATAAAACTGGTTGTGTCTATTATTATGGATTACACAGATAGCTATAGATAGCATCTTGAAATTTTGGTGGAAACCATGAAATTCTCCTCAGGATTCTTTGATGAATAGAAAGTTCAAAAGAACAGCATTCATGTGAAATAGAATTGTATTTATTTATTTTTAGTATTATTTTTGTAAAGTCTTAATTTTGTCCTTAAAACAAGAATAATTTTCCCAGGACGTAAAACTACATAAGAATTTCCCAAGACATCAATATTTTCTAAGAATATATCATGAATATAGGTGTAATTTGTCTTTTTCCATTTCAGTTGGTTTTAGCATAAATCTCACTTAATTTAAAAAAAAAAATTTCACTTAAAACAAAGTGGAAAAATCTCCCAATGTCACAAGACAAAATACATTTGTATTCACATATTCACACATACATAATCCATTTTTCCTGATTGGAAAAGTATTCAATGTCCTTTACATTTTTAATGCCACTTTTACATCGCAGACTCTTGTTTATAAAGCTGAGGGGGATTGTAACAGGGTTCATTAAAAACTGAACTTCCTGGTTAATGACCTGAGGGCGACCAACCTGGACGTGCTGATCTGCTTTCTAACAATGCTTACACAAATCAGGGGGTCACGGGTGGTATCAGGTGTGTGTGTGTGTGTGTGTGTGTGTGTGTGTGTCAACAGCGAGAGACTATTCTTCTCTCCGCAGCAGCCTTTCTCCTGTTTTCACACACAAATATTCCTCTTAATACACACACACACTTCACTGAGCAGCTGAAGTAGGTTAGTCTTTGCAGCTCCCATCTGCCTCATCTGCTGATTGTTAATGATCTGTGGTCGCATTCTACTGTGTTTCTCTCCATTTTCTCATTTTCCTGCCATCATCGTCTCTCTCTCGCTCACACACACACAAGCTACTTTCACGCTGTGACATTCATTACAGATCTCACTCTGTCGTTGCTGTTGTTCATTGCTTGATGCTGTTTTCTTGGCATTACTTTAATTTTCTCTTTCTCTTTCTTTTTCCTCTCTATTTTGTGTTCCCTTTCCTTATGTACGTGTTTTGTCGTCATTATTCCATTCTCAATTCCCCTACATCCTACATTCAAACCTTTTTACCTTTGTGCCGTTTGTGTGTATTGGCATGAATGTGTGTGGATGGATATTTTTTATGAGTTTGTTTTAAAAAATATATTCCTCCCTACCTCCCTGCTTCTGTGTGTCATGTCCATTTCTTTCCCGTATGAATATATATATGTGTGTGTGTGTGTGTGTGTATTGGGTCCTGAAGTCCGCCGTTGGAAGCGCGTAGCAGGCTGCTCCTGAAATGCTCCAAGTGCGGCGTGATCTCCAGTACCGCCCTGTCCAGCTCTACCGCCAGCAACGCCATGTTAGTCTCATTCCATATTCTCTCTTTGTCTCTTTCTTTCTCTCTCCATTTCTTTCTTTTCTCTCTCTTTCTCTCTCTAGAGCCCAACTCTGACAGTAAGAAACAGAAACTCTTCAAAGAGCCGCCCTCCTGTCTGCACACTACATCGTTTTCTTAAATCTTTGCTGAAAACTGCCCTCAAAGAAGATCGTTTAAGGCATTACAGTATTGCAAATCATTAAAAACATATTGCAAAAATGGCTTTGGAAGTCGATATATTGTTTATTTGTCAAATATAAGCGTACAGAAACCACAATTCAGTGCAATATATTTTGTAGTCGAGTTATAAAAGTGTCCAAGACAGACTTAGGGGCCATTCACACAGAACACTGTTTTGCTTTGAAAAATGTAAGACGTGGGCGGTGGAAGGGGGAAAAACACAAGGTCTCGAGATGCGTTTTTTAAAAAAGTGTAACTTTTTTAAATTTGAGCGTTTTTAGGACACCGTGTCATACGCACGATGCAAACACAGTGATCAAAGATGTCTGTCTAGCACGTGTTTGCATAGAAAAAAAGTTTCCCAGTGGAATAGAAAAACCTGTTCTGTGTGAACTAGCCCTTAGGGGCCATTTATTTTTTCCTTTGTTTTATTTATTTATTATTTTTTTGTTGTTTACATATGCCAGTGTACATCTTTGCACTTATAAAATTCTTAAAGTATTTTTGTATAATTATATAAGATATTAAGACTTGTTTCTAGAAAATGTGTCTTTGATACAAGTGTTGTTGTTGTTGTTATTTTTTTATTATTATTACTATTTTTTGACACACGGGAAAATTATTTTACAATTCTTTTCAATATTAAAAACTGCCACTGCAGTAAGACAAAATACACTTACTAAAAGTCGTAATATCTTGTTTTGTATCTTATTTCAATGATTTTAAAATACTTAAACTCTCAAATTAGACAAAATAGTCATAACAGGATTTGTTTTAATTAATTAATTAATTAATTAATTAATTAATTTTGATTTGTATTTTTATTTTTTTTTGCAAAAACATGGAGGTGGTACATCTACCAAATTGCTCTAATGATCGGAAAACCTATGAAAAATGGAAAAGCATGTAATGTTATTAAATATTAATTATATTTTTATATATCATTAATACAATTCATAAAATTGTATTATTTTAAATGTATTTTTTTTATTAACTAAAAGGAATATGTTAAATTGACAGCCATTTCAAAAACACAAATGCATGCACATACACACAAACATGGAGGATTGTGCTCTTTGAAGAGGTAAAGAACCAGATTGTGGATCAAGGGCCACCTCTGATTCTTTTGGCTTTGGATAAATTGGACTCATCTCTGCTATTTGCTGGAGGGAGTCATGTTATTGAAATGATAATGAAATGAATGATATCGCTTCTCTGTTCCTCTTTCTCTTTGTCATTTTTTGTTCCTCATCTCGTCCTTGCTGTCTGCTTTTTCTGTCTCCACTGTCCAAGTATAAATATGGGGCATGTGTGTGTGGTGCCATAAAACAACGTCCATTCATAGAAATGAATGAAGAGGACTTCCTAAAGGAAGTTTGGAGGACCATGTTCGCATCATTCCACCGATTACCTCATTTTCTTCCATGTCGGCGTTCCTGCTCCATCCCAAACCCACACTCTTTCTCCACAGTTAGTTAGGGGAGGACATTGAATTTGAGTCATGCTGTTTCACATTTACCAACTCAATCTTGTCTTCCTTTTTCTGCATTGTTCTTATATGAGCATGAGAACTCATACTGAAGATTTGCATAGAAGCAAATCTCTTTCTCTGTCTCATTGCTAATGTCCGTCTCATACCAGTCATATGCAGGAGACTGAGTCAGTGCAGCGTGAAGATGTTAAATTGATGCCCAGCTCTGGTGAGCCCTTGCTTGGCTGAGCTCAGGCGGACAGTCCTTACTGACACCTGATATTTATCTAAATAGGCTCTGCGTGATGCAGAACCAAAACACTCCGGTAGGATTAGCAACATGTTGGAAATTCATCAGGGCATGTTAGCATGAGCACTCAGCATTATGAACAGCAATTATTTGCCTGTTTTGCAAACAAAGTAATTTGGAAATCCGCTACATATGACGGAAACTATGGTAGCTGCAATTTTTCTTTTCTTTTTTGTAAGGGATTCTAAATTATACTCTTTCAATACCCTTTATGTTGCATACATAAAATGTAGCAATCACTAGGTCTGTGATATCAGGTTTCTAATTACTGTGACTCTAATGACTCATTAAATATATTGTACATTTGCACTGTATTGACACTCAGTTAAATGCCTGTGGTGCAGAGCTGGTTTCCAAACCTCATCAACACCCCCATAACTCAACTCTAATCGTGATAATATCTGATGGCTAATGATTCCAGGTGCAGTAATGTCGCCACCTTGCTGCATGGAGGATGAACTGCATTTTGCTCTGTGTCCTCTCTGCACAGGGCGTCGTTATGGAGCTCTTGTGTGGTTCTCCCTCTGTTGGCACTCACGTGGATGTCAGCTGTGCTGGCCATCACAGACCGCCGATCAACCCTCTTCCAGGTGCTCTTCGCTGTCTTTGACTCAGTCCAGGGATTCGTCATCATCACTGTGCACTGTGCCATGCGCCGAGAGGTCAGTGGGCAACATCAATGATGCAGCCGGCAATGATCCAGTTATCTGTGTAGAAATTGTAACAAGAGTCACAATTATAAAAGATAAAGTTATTAATAAGTCAAAGTGTTTTCCTGGGTCAGAATAGCCTTCGGTGGGTAACTTGTGTACAGGGTCACTCACAAGGAAAAAGTAGCCTGCTAACAACTTCCACAGGTAATTAGAATATGGGTGTAGAATTTATTTATTTATTTATTGAGTTACTTAGTCAGTCAGTTAGTTAGTTAGTTAGTTAGTTATTAATAATAATTTATTTATTTTTTATACTTATTCTTAGGCTTAAATGCAAAATGTTTTTTAGAGTATGAATGTAATATACTATTGTGTGTTCTATGATTTAATATTGATTATAATTTATGATTATAACTATGATTATAATTTACAGATTGTTATTAATTTTGATATTCCGCTTGTCAACAATGCCAATTATATACATACTAATACATATATTACATATTTAATACACTAATACATATAAACATATTTTGTGTTATACATGTTGTTTTTGAAAGTTGGTGCTTGAAATAGGCAAAAGCTTTTTATTTAATTGATTTTTATTGATGACTGCAGTGTTAATATTTTCATTGTAGACCTATAATTCATAATATACCTGTTTTAAAATACTTTTTTTTGTTTTACATTTTAATTGAGGAGTAAATAACCTAATCTTTTATTATCCTCGCCTGCACGTCAGTTATTTGGTAATTATTGCGGGGCAAATTAATTGTAATTTTAATTTAATAATAAAAGTAACTTCATAATAATAATAATAAAAAAAAGAATGTAACAGGCCTACATTAATTGGAAATGCCAAATATCTTAATATTGCCAACAATTGATGTTTTTGACAATAGCTCTGGCTATCGTCGATACAAGATCATCGTCTTTCGACGCAACCCAGCAAGTGGAGATTATCACGGGGCAGACAGAACGTTGCCTGTTACGTCGTTTGGGCTGCCTTTTTGAGCGCAGTGGCCACTCCCATAATACATATATATATATATATATATATATATTAGGGGTGTAACGGTACACAAACATGATGGTTCGGTACGTACCTCGGTTTTGACGTCACGGTTCGGTATGGTTTTGGTACAGCAGGATGAAAAAACTAAACATAAATTGCTTTTTTTATTTAACAATAGTTTACTGAACGAATTGCTCTTTCTTTAAATAAATTCAAGTATTATTAAATATTTCTTAGGGATACAAATCTATCTCAGCTTCTGCTGTAAACTATAGGGAGCCCTTCTATAAGTTTACAATTAACAACAGAGCCCAAACTTAAATTAAGTTACTATTTATTTTTAACTATAATAATCAACACTCAATTTAACAAATTGTATGAAAACATGTAAATTGTTTTTACATTATACAATTTCTATTTGTTGTTGAAATATAATAATTTACAGAGTCATAACTTGTTTCATAAAATATGTATTTAAACATATACATTAAATAATTAAGACATCACTATTCATAATAATAATAATAAAAAAAAAGAATGTAACAGGCCTACATTAATTGGAAATGCCAAATATCTTAATATTGCCAACAATTGATGTTTTTGACAATAGCTCTGGCTATCGTCGATACAAGATCATCGTCTTTCGACGCAACCCAGCAAGTGGAGATTATCACGGGGCAGACAGAACGTTGCCTGTTACGTCGTTTGGGCTGCCTTTTTGAGCGCAGTGGCACTGAGAACATTATATTTCACAAACTTTAAGCTGTTTTATTTTCCAAATGTAATAGGATTAGTCCAACGAATCGAATCGTTCGGTGTGTAATGCGTACCGAACCGAAAGCCTCGTACCAAACGGTTCAATACGAATACGTGTATCGCTACACCCCTAATACATATATATATATATATATATATATATTAGGGGTGTAACGGTACACAAACATGATGGTTCGGTACGTACCTCGGTTTTGACGTCACGGTTCGGTATGGTTTTGGTACAGCAGGATGAAAAAACTAAACATAAATTGCTTTTTTTATTTAACAATAGTTTACTGAACGAATTGCTCTTTCTTTAAATAAATTCAAGTATTATTAAATATTTCTTAGGGATACAAATCTATCTCAGCTTCTGCTGTAAACTATAGGGAGCCCTTCTATAAGTTTACAATTAACAACAGAGCCCAAACTTAAATTAAGTTACTATTTATTTTTAACTATAATAATCAACACTCAATTTAACAAATTGTATGAAAACATGTAAATTGTTTTTACATTATACAATTTCTATTTGTTGTTGAAATATAATAATTTACAGAGTCATAACTTGTTTCATAAAATATGTATTTAAACATATACATTAAATAATTAAGACATCACTATCAGGTAAAGTAAATATAATGAAGTATAGTCTAATATTTCGCAAAATGCTCTTCACTAGACAACTTCACATTTCTCTAGCAAATAACGAGCTGTAGACACTGATGACTTGCCTGAGGTAAATGAAATTCGATGTGACATTTTGTTTAGAAGCTGTTTAAATGACGTCTTTCCGCGGTTGAAACACGAACTGAGTGATTATGTGAGGGGTGAGATGTTCATTCATGTATATTTCCCGTTAAAACTAGTAATAAAGATGAAGAGATGATCACGCTCACTCGCGCTCCGTGCTGCCGTTAGAACTGATGCATTAGTATAATACAGCGATATGTCGCGCCACATCAAAGAGCGTCAAAACGGCATTTATTGTCTGAATTTCCTGAAAGAATTGAACGATTTTTTCGGTACACATGCGTACCGAACCGAACGACCCGTACCGAAAATTTTTGGTACGAATATGTGTACCGTTACACCCCTAATGTATACAGTTCAAGACCAAATTATTAGCCCCCTATAAAATATTTCATTATTTTTTAACTAATTCCCAAGTGCTCTTTAACAGAAAGAAGATTTTTTTCAACACCGCATTTCTAAACATAATAGTTTATTTAGGAAGCTTGGAATGTTTGTAATATAAATAGAAACAAAATTATAACCAAGAATAAAAAAAAGTCTACAGGCCAAAATTATTAGCCCTCTGATGTTAATAGTCAATGGTGTATCCCTTTTGCTTGATAACAGCCTTTAGTTGTTTGTTGTAGTTCTCAACAAGTTTCAGGCATGTCTCCTGAGGAGTTGCAGCCCATTCCTCATTAGCAAATCTCTCAAGCTCCTCCAGATTTGTTGGTCTCCTGGCATGGACTCTGGTCTTCAGTGTGCCCCACAGATTTTGTATTGGATTCAAGTCTGGGCTTTGTGCAGGCCAGTCATTCACTTTGCTCATTTGGAGGTAGTTCTACACCAGAAATGAGGTATGCTTTGAGTCGCTATCATGCTGGAAGACAAAACGTCGACCCAAACCATCTTTTGTTGCAGATTGCCTGAGGTTGTCTTTCAAAATCTTCTCATAGTCCTCCGTTTTCATGATTCCTTTGACCCTGACGAGATTCCCAGTTCCAAACGCACTGAAACATCCCCACAGCATTACTGTGCTGCCATGCCATGTTTCACTCTGGAGACGGTGTTCTTTGGGTTGAGCACCTGTCCCTTCTTACTCCAAACATAGGCAGCATCTCTATGGCCAAATAGCTCTACTTTTGTCTCATCTGACCAAAGGACATGTTTCTAGTATACATAGTTTTTCTCCAGGTTGTCCTTCAAACTTCAGTCTAGCTTGGAGGTGTCTCTTCTTCAGAAGAGGAGTTGTGTTCGTTGAGATATCAATCCCAGATTTACTAAATCATTCACTAGTGTCTTGGCAGTTGTTCTTGGGCTTTTAGAAACCTCTCTCAATAGTTTTCTTTACAAAGTTTTTGAAATTGTTCGCTTCCTGCCTCTGTTCTCCACTGTGTGGGTCTCTTCAAACTTCTTGATAATACTTCTCACGGCTGTTCTTGACACATGAAACCACTTTGATAAACGTGTATATGCTTCTCCTCCTTTGTGAGCATTAACAATTATTTTTTCTCTAGTCTAAACTATTTTTTTTTGTCTTTGCCATGATGACAGTACATATTATTTTACTAGTTGTTTTGAAAGATACTAATCTTTAGTTTACAGTGTAATTTAAAGGCTTAGAGGATTAATTAAGGTTAATTAGGCAATTTAGGTTAGTTAGGCAAGTCATTGAACAACAGTGGTTTGTTCCGTAGCCAATCAAACAGATAACTTCTTAAGAGGGCTAATGATATTGACCTTATAGCAATTTTTTTATTATTATTTTTTAAATAATTATTGTATTCCAGATGAAAAATATAATAAGAAATACTGTGTTAAAATTCCCTTGCTCTGTTAAACATCACTTGGGAAATATCTGAAAAAGAACTGAAATTTCATAGGGGGGCTAATAATGTTGTCTTCAACTGTATATATATAGAGAGAGTTTGATAAACCCTGGCTTAGATAACCTCAGTCTTCATCACAATATTATGTGCGTGTGATTGGCCATAACAATATAATAAATAAAAGTTTCACTGTTATACTGCCAATCTTAGAGGACAGTCAGAGGTGTATTTAAATGGAGATTGGAGGAGGACTTTTATTTGAGTCCATTATTTTAAGGCGCACTTAGGAATAAAACTTGGCTTGGACCGCTGACGCAATCAATTTTTTGAAATAGCATGCACTGCTTTCACGTAATAATGGGTTGGTCTGACTGGCCATAAATAAATCAACTGATGGATCAAACTATAGACACATTGTAGTGGGTCTGTAGCCAAGATGTGACAGTTTCAACTCTCCAGCATGTACTGAATCTTGGCTGACTTTCACGTACCGGGTAAATCAAAATATGCTGCTGGAGTTTAAGGAGGGAGAGAAAAAATCAGTTCTAAATCGCTAAGCCATATATGTTAAATCAATATCGCAAAACCGAAGGATTAGAGTAAAATAAATCCTGGTATTATTTTAATAAATATATGAAAATCCCTGGCAAGGCTTTGATGTAATCCTTAATAGCTTTAGCAAAACAAGAGAGTGGAGAGTAGTTTGTGCACCGGATCCTTGCGCTATATGCAGTTTGATTTGCGAAGTACACTTTGAAATGGAAGAGCCAACAATGGAAAGGCAGTATTCATGATTAGCACAGGCAAATGAGTGGAGGATGTTTGTGGGAATAGTTTGTTCTCATGCATTTATGAAGATAGAGAGAGCCTAGAAGGCATGCCATCGGGTGTCATTCTGATACGTCTACAGCTTTGACTCGGCAGACAGTCATCCATAAACAAGCTCTGAGAATGAGACCTTCTCCCGCTCTGTCTTGCGAAACAGCCTAGCCTTTCTGCACATCGTAATTTTAGCTGTGGGGAGGGGAGCAGACTGATTACAGATTCTGGTCTAGGCCGGTGAATAGTGTTGCAGCATGATAACTCATGCTCAGTTGAATAGAAAGAGAAGGGATTTACTAAATAGTGCAGAGAATGTGCAGTCGATAAATAAAGTGTTCCAACAGAATATGCTTGATGCTATTCGGAGGACACAAGTAGATTAAAGTGTCATTTGTTCAGCGCGTAACCTTTGCAAACCATAAAGATCGTGGCAGATCAACCACTTGGGTACAACATGTTGTAGAATTAACGTGTCTCAAATGTGCCTCCAGTGAACACTTGTGATGGGATTTTGTCTAGATCATGTCTGAGATCAAGCAAAATACATTAAAAAGAGGAATATTGTGAAATATTATGAATATTTTAAATCACTATAGTTTTCTATTTTAAAGGGGTCATATGATGCGATTTCAATTTTTCCTTTCTCTTTGGAGTGTCACAAGCTCTTGGTGCATAAAGAAGATCTGTCTTCCAAAAGAGGACGATATCCGCTTCGTCATGCCTGGAGCTGATCCGTGCACCAAATACACAAAATAATGTTCTTTTTAGCAGCATCATATGACCCCTTTAATATATTTTAAAATTAAAATGTAATTTAAGCTGAATTTCCAGCAGCCATTATTCCAGTCTTCAGTGTCACATGATCCTTCAGAAATCATTCTAATATGCTAATTTGGTGCAATAATGAAATATTTTTTACAAACAGCATGTATTTGAAATAGAAATATCATTATATCATATGATAAATGTCTTTGCTATCACTTTGCCTATCACAGACTGCCCCAGTGACAAGCTGTTGTACCCCTAAATGTACGATTTTCGCACTTTTCCAAGCAATCAGTCTGTGTCAATACAGCGTTTGAGCAATTTCTAAGATGTCTATTTACACCTGTATTTAGCTCTGTCCTCATGTGATTGTGGGGCCTTTGCTGTGCATCCAGACAGTCTAAGAAAATGTCGGTCATTATCTGTTATGTTCTTTGTTGGCATAAAAAAGCTCTGATCTTCCCAATTAGGAAACACTGTGCTTTCACTTGGTCATTCCGTAGGCGTTTTGGCCATAAATCTGTATGCAAATTAGTGGCATCCCGTTGCTAAGGCTACACTGTCGTCAGGGGAAACAGCCTATCACGTTGTCTTTTTTGTTTTTTTGTTTTTGATTAAAGGGAGTGTCTTCCTCCCTATTGTTGTAGAGCCTGTGTGTCTGCAGTTATGTAAACTCCTCCTGCGGAAATGCAAACAGGCTCACTGCAATGTTTTTCACTCAGGAATATAAACTAATATCAAAGTATTATGAGAAATCACATACAGACGCCCTCTGTAGATTACTAAAATAACTATATTAAACCGATAGATTCTCTTGAGTATATAGAAACTGCTAGTGTCTTTAGGATATTTGCTATCATCATTAGTTTCATGTTGGCATCAACACAGGATGGATATTCACCCCTCCTATTCTTTTTTTTTTCCTGTCTTAAGAATCACTAACAGTCTACATGTTATACAGTGATTGAGTATAATGATTAAAAAATCTAGAACCAAAATGACAGATAGTAAAAAAAAATTAAGGATTTAATACTTATTTTAAAATGTTTTAGTCTGCATTTTAGGACACTCTCACTCTTGCTTTATCTTCTTGGATCTGTGTTGACAACATTACTGTTTTCTTTTCTTTGTATTCCCTCTGCCAGAACCCTCTTTTGTCTTGCTCTTTGACCACACAATACCTCATTTTCTGCGATTTTTCAGAAACCGAGAGAGGCTGACAACCTTAACATTAGTGATTGACACCAACAAAGCACACGCTTGACGGACAACTGTCGACTGTGGTTCCATTCATGTAGCACATACTAACCGTACTCACTTTAAAAATTCAGTTTTGCCTCCTGATATTTTAAGGGGTCGCTTTTGTTATAGAATATGGTTGATGCTCTCTTTCATACCTGAGCTGTGTATGAACACAAACAGGACTGACAACCATATTCTGCTGCAGTTATGAACAGCCCTAGAAAGGCTTGAAATGATAATGTTTTGGTATTTGTTCGTTTGCTTTTTTATTATTATTCCATGGATTTAGATTTAATTTAAGATCTCTGCGAGTCACCCTGGTTATATCCCATGTCTTCCCACCTCAGGTACAGGACGCAGTGCGCTGCAGGATGGGTGGGTGCAAAGACGACAGTGAAAACTCTCCGGACTCCTGCAAGAATGGCCAGGTGCAGATCATGGTGAATAGCATTCCATTCCATCTCATCTCACATGGGACTCTCAGAGGGTCAGCTTCTCCACTTTTAAACATCACGGGCTACTGGGTGATTGTGTTTCAAATCGGATTTGTTTTGTAAATCGGAGCAGGTGACTATTCTAGAGTAGGTTGCTAGTTAAAGCTCCCATCTATGTCTTGTTTCCTTTAGGAAAGTCATTTTGTGCAATTTCTAGTATTTAGATGAAAGTTATACAATCTGTGTTCAGTTAGAGACTTAAAGGGCACCTATTATGCAAAATTCACTTTTACATGTTGTTTGAACATAAACATAACATGTGTTGGCAGTGTGTGTACACAACCACCCTATAATAAAAAAAATCCACCCACTCCTTTTTTTAATCCCCATAAATCATAAGCAGTGTCTCAAAACAAGCCGTTCGCAGAATCTGTAAAATGTGACCTGATTCAGAAGCGCTAGATTGTCATAGCAAAGTCGGAATTGACCCTTTTTTTTTTTTTAGAAATAGCCTTTGTGCACAGCCAGCCTTGTACTCTTCTAGGTTCAAAAGTCGTTCGTCCATAAAATGCGTTGCACAAATTCGAACATCTGGGTTGTGCTGTTCTGTTGTAAATAAATCTTAACCAATGATTCCTAATTGCATCTACTTCCAGAAGGCCAAATAAAGTGCTTTTGCTTTCGCACTCACACAGCGTCTCCCTGACATGGCTGCATCAACACTGCTGCGTTCCCGAAACCACGCCTTCTTTCTTTGGGCGGCATTATGCTAATATTTCCACATATTGACGTAGAT